CTGTGGTCAGCATTTGTCATTCTAGTAGCAAAGAAAAAGACATGACACACACATTGGCACATTGAAGTCTTTTCTTGTATTATACAATGTCCTGCCTAATTGACAAAATATAATATAATGTAATGAAACAACGTGAATGATCTATGTTATTTTACACCCATTGTGTTCATACATGCTGAAAAATGAATTAAAATATTAAAGCTGGTAGAAAGAAAAGCAGCTCACCGATGTTGCTGCGTTCATAAGTCACAATGCTGTACGTCTCATCATAACCACTCGGTAAGTACTTTATCAGGAAGACAGGGGGAAGGTAAAGTGAGAGTTAGCAGCAGGATCACTGACTGGATGCATACAGAAGTGTTGAATTACCTCTCCACCGCTGAGTTTTCCCATATATCCACTGGCATCTATAACATGAAACGCACAATTAAAAACACCTAATCACCCTGATCCTCCGCCTGGATTCTTTACTTACACAAAGAGAAGGGAGGACAAATTATTTAGTGGGCACACAAATCAAGTTCTCACCAGTTGTTCTTTTGGTGAATAGAAATGCCAGTCCCAGTACGATAACACCTCCAAAAGAAGACGCAACAATTACCAACTTCCATGTTTCTGTGTGAGGTCAGAAACAAGTCAGTTTCACTTCGTACACAAAAGCAAGAAGACTGTGTGTACCTATGTACCAGTAAAGGGCACACAGAATATAAAACATCAAGGACAGCGTATTGCTTTGCAACTGATATAAATTAAACACTTGATTACAGTTGAGAAGATGACACATTATTGAAATACAGATAATAATGAAGCAAATTGTTTTACTGAGACACTGCAGAGCAATACTCACTGCTCAAACCCAGAAGAAACATGTAATATGAACCAACTGTGGATTAGGAGGCACCCTTTTTAACGTTAATATAATTAATGTTATATATTATTCACAAAAAGGACAGCTTTAGCTAATTTGCTGCATAATATGCCAATTTGCTATAGGGAAGAGAATAGTACTAACATAAATATCCTTTTATTTGTAATGTTAATAGTATGTGTAAGAAATAGATGCTTTTGATCACCTGGTGATGGGTTCTCTGGGATCACAGATGAGAAAATATCTTGAGTGCTAGACGTATAAGGATTCTGACCTATTGTAATAAACAAAAAGTCAGAGACATTAAAACATTTAGAGAAAATGCATGTTGGTATTTTTGATGGACTTAAAAAAAGTGTGAATAATAAGGAAACTGAGTATTTGTGTTACCTTGTGTTGGTTTCACTGGTTTTATGGAAGTAGAGATAAAACTACCAGTGTTTCTTGATCCAACAGTAAGACCTAGTGAATGAATACAAATATAAAATAATAAAAAATGTATTTTTTAAAGTCACATTTAATAAATGTGTAATAGTGCTACCAGGTGTTTGTTTGGTAGTAGTCATAGGAGTGGAAGAACTGATAACAGTCCTTCCTGGTGAAAACGAAAAGAGAAAAAGAAAACATTGAAAACAACAAACATAGTAAGTTAATTGTGATCATTTCTGGATTTCCATTCAAATGTAAAGCATGTCCTGCCTGTGGTCATAGTAGATGTCAACATAGTCTTCGTCAAACGTGTGTCCTTTTCCACGATATCTAAAACCAAAGAAGATGGATTTGGATCTGTCAGCTCCTTATATTTGTGAAATCACTTGAGAATAAGAAGAAATATATTTTTCGTTTATTAACAGTCAGATATAGCAACTAAATAAATGTGGTGCATTGACACACAAACACTTTTTCTTTATAAAAGTGTTATGTAAGGATGTCCTGGATGTTATTCAGATAAATATTATCTCTTACCTGGGGGGATAGTAGCTGATTTTGTGGAGAGCATCCATGATTCTTTTTCCACAATATCTGCAGCAAAGGAAACAGATTTGGACAAATAAATAGACATTATATTTTGTATTTGTGCAATGACTTCAACACAGAGCTGTTTATGTCATTTTAAAAAGGTACAATCAAGGTATCCAAAGACAAATTCAAATGACTTTTGGATCCCCGACTTTTTATCCTTCGTGAGGTTTACATTTTTTCTCATCTTGAAACTATTTGATACTTGTGTACACACATAGATACACATACATGATGTCCAGAGTTTAATATATGTGTGCAAACACGAACACAAACAAACAAACATACAAACCATGAACCAGATTAAACACCGGAGTGCAATTATTATCAAACAACTTGAAAAAAGTGTAAAGTGCTTTTAAAGTGCTGCGACTCCAACCTCCTATTTGTCATCACTGTTTTCAAACCAGCTGTCCTGTCGGCAGCTAGAGCTACTTTGTTTATTTTTTAAATGTTATCCTTTTTTAACATAAAAATGTCACGTCATTGGACAATTACTTAGAATGTAATTCTCATGTTATAGTGTCATACTCCAACAATTGAAACAACATGCAGTACGTTCAAAAATTGAGAAATACTTTAAGATGTTTAGTGTCTTCTCTGACTCACCAGTCAAGCTGTATCCATCGCTACGAGGAGACAAAGAGTTGGCTTCACTTCCCAAACTATAATCACAGCTGGCATCATGTCTTTTAAGAAGATGTAAACTTCTTAGAAAGTCATACATTTTGACAGTAAACTGGCAGATCAGCCGATTCTTAGAATCCCTTTTCTTCCAGCTGGTTGCTGTTTGGACTGGATGATTATTTTCTCCAAAGTACAGGTTACATCTCGCATCATGATCAGCAGATCCAGGCAGAGTGCAGGAAAAGAGAACGTATTCACCGGGTTCATGTTGAAGAGTCATCTGTGGTTTTTGACCTAAAGAAAGGTTAATGAAAGGTTATTAAATACAATATCCTCATGTCATACTGTCACACACTGTCATTATGTTGTACAATTCACATTAAAGCTTTGTGATGATAATTTTCTAGTGTGTAAAAATGTTAGGAAAGTGTCAGTTACACTGTAATGAAAATCATTACTGATTACAGGCACACTGTAAATATCCTAAATGTAACATTTCATCCCAAAGGTGGCATTTTAATGGAGTGAAAGTTGTACAATAGTTGAATATTTGTTCACTTCCTTTTAAATATGAAATGTGAAACTGCATCTTGCACTGACATTATATGATCAAATATGAAATAATGAGTAAAGCAGTCACTCACTGCGTACTGTGATGGAGGACGGGTCACTGTGTGGAGATGGAGGATTTGACCCTTCAAACGTTACCGTGTAAAAACATTTCACTTGAACCTCAGCAGGTGATCTCTGCTGTGACATCAGCAGCNAATGATTAATAGAAATAGTATACATTTTTTACCAATGTTGTTCTGCTACCATTATTATTTAAGTTAAGTTATGCCATAATCATGTCTTTTTCCATAATCAGGTAGCAGAACAACATTGGTAAAAAATGTATACTATTTCTATTAATCATTTTCGGCCTTTCGGCATTCGGCCAACTGTTTCCTATTTTCTGTATCGGTTTCGGCCAAGAATTTCCCATTCGGTGCACCCCTAATAGTAATGTGAAAGCCTTTTAGAAATTAATTGCACATAATAATTCCCACGGAGCTGTGAGCACTTATACATTTATGTGACGCTTTTCCACTCATCTTCCAGTTGTCGGTTTTCCTCTGTTGAAATCGAACAGCTGTGAAGGTGGGGGCGGGGCTTTTATACGCGAGTAGTGAAAACACTTCCGCGTAGTCTGCTCGCGTGTATCCTCCCTTTCGTCTCCTCCCGCACTCCTCCTCCCTCACCCCTCCTCGACTCCTCCGTGTGCATTTCAGCTATTGGGACGTCCTTCAAAATGGCGTGTCTTCATCGATTTCCGGGTCAAGTCCCGGAGGAGGGGAGGAGAGGAGTCGAGGAGGGGTATTGGGATGAGGCTTCTAACTGCCTGCTGCTTCCCCTCCTCTCTCCTCGGTTCCACTCCTCAGTCCTCCGCTCGCATCTCCTGTGGGCGGGACTAAGTCTCGAGGATAGGAGTCGAGGAGGGGAGTCGAGGAGGGGAAATTTAAGAATTGAGAAGCCTCTACTGCCAAGACGCAGGAGAACATGGCGACGCAACAGTCGGCGTCGGCTTCGGCGAGTTCTCTGGTGACTGCCTGGTGTGTTTTAATTTTTTTTAATTTTTTTTTATTTATTCTTTTATTTATTTATTCATTGTGTCTCTATCTTCACTTTTGCTTTAACAATTTAAATGTCTTCTCTGGGAATAAAGGTATTCTGATTTTCATATTCTGAAGTATTTCAATGTCAAATCAACGGTATGTTCCTGCACTGGCTGTATGACTGAATGTGTATCAAATCTGACATGAATGTTTCAAATCCACAAAATGTCTGACCACTGAAACGTGCCATGTCTGATGAAGAAGGAAATCCAATACATATCTGTCTTCTGTGATCTTTGTGAAGATCCCTGTGTTTTAAAAATAATACACTACACAAAATCACAAAAATAATACTCTTTATTTCTAATGCACATTAGCTACTATAGTTATGCAAAAAGTGAAGCACACAGCACGTTACCATAATGCACTGAATGCTCAATATTAAAATACACAATCAAATATTGTGCACCTCTTTTCATGAAATTATTGTGAAATGTGATTTATTCTTGATAGATAAAGTGTACATCTTCACAAAACTTTATTGATCAGTCTCTTCCAAACATATCACTGTGAAAATTCAATAGAAATAAAAAGAGGAATTTGTCTGAAAACGAAATTATTCCAACTTATAACAGGTAACAGGGTATATCAGAAGATGAAAAACAAAACCCACTTGAAAATATTAGTAACATTTAGTTAAAAACCATAAGATCAAAATGGAAAACATATAATGATTAAAATGAAATGGAAATAGTAAAACATAATGTGTAAAAGCAAAGTAAAAAAAAAGAAAAATGCATAACATAACCTCAAATGCAATATAGTCAAATAAGTGTGCGAATATTCATGTTGTAGCACCTTAAAAATGTTCAAAACAGACACATATGTTACACCTCTGATCAATGTCACATGCATTATTTTGTTGTTATGGTTGCTCTAAAATTAACTTTGTAGTTCTTTTGCCTGGTTTTGCTTCTCTCATTGGTTGATTTGTGTCTCTCATGTCATTTTGAGCCTCTTTGAGGTTGTTGTGTGTCTGTTTGTAGTTTGCTGTCTAATGTTGTATTCATTTCCTCTCTCTTTGTAGTTGTTTTTTGTCTCTTTAGTCATTTTGTGTCTATTTGAGGTTGTTGTGTGTCTCTTTGTAGTTTACTTTTTCTCATTGAAGTCTTTTTGATGTTTTGTCTCTTTCAAGTTGTTACAGTATGTGTCTCTTTTTTGTCTTTTTAGTTTTTTGTATTCATTTATTTTTGTCACTGGGGTTGTTTTGTGTCTCTTGGTGTTACTCTTTGTTTGTTTTTGTCTCTTTAAAGTAGTTTTTTGTTTTGTCTGTGGTTGTTTTGCTCCATTTTGTAGTGTTTTTGTGTCTCCTTAAAAGTCCCTGAAAGTCTCTCTCCATTTGAGCTTATCCAATTCAGCAAAGTGCCATACAGTCCCAGAGAGAGGCTTCATACAAATGTGTTGCACCTGGTTTTATTGAACATTTGCAAACATTACTGCTCTGTCACACACAGACACACACACACACACACACACACACACACACACACACACACACACACACACACAGATCTTGACAGTATCAAAATAGGTTCAAATATGTTACAATAGTCTAGCTATTCTAACAACCTTACAGTTAAAGGGGTCCACATCCTCTCCAAAAACCAAAGTGGAAACATATTTTATGGCACTTTTACTCCGCCAACCAAAAGCACCCCCTCTACAGCAGGGTGGGATATTATTGCTTCCTCTGTAACATGTTATACAACCTCATAAGCAAAGGTTGCTCTTTTATCATCAAGGTAGAGATTTGTTGGGCATCCCTACATGCCTTGCTTTAATACAGGTATTTCCTGTTTTCCCTGCATTGCGTTTGTGGTCAAGTTTGTGCACGTTTTCCACCCTGTAAAGTGTTTTGTAAATCAGTTGTATCTTTTGTTATTTTGTATCTACTAAATGTAGAAGGAAGACCATTCTCAGGTTGACATATGGCCTTGTATTCCTTCCATGATACTACCACTTACAGAGTAAAAAAAGATAGAATCATGCCTTGCACACAGCAGGGTACCTACAATAAACTATATAATCATAACTACATATTTTTATTGTCTTACATACATTCAGTTGAGGGGAGACACACAGGGGTATATGGTAAAAATAGCTTTAGATATCACAATACAAACTTCACCTAGTTGACTTAAAATAAGACCAATATGTGTTTGTTACATACAACGCAAAGGGACACATTTATAAAAAAATAACTCCTTGAGTATTTGGGATATTTTCTGCACTTATCTGGAAGAAAACATGTTATGGAAGCAAATGAGTGCATAAAACAAAGCTTGTGCATGTGTCATCTAAGCATTCCTATAGGTTTGTAAGGTTTCCATCTTCCCCCAGTCTGATTGGAGAACGCTCCTTCACCGAGCTCTTTGGCTCAGGTCATGCGTTGTGCCTGCGGTTGTTCTGACAGAGGAGCCATGTTTTCTGATTCTTGGTAACAGCTTGGATCCATCTTATGAATCCTGTTTGGAGATGTTTTTCCACAACTGCCAAACATAATGACAAGATAATTAAATCATAATTACCTGTTCAAGTCTGGTACATGTGGTAGGCCAAATGCATGTCATAAACACAGCATGAGCCAAATGCCATAAGGATTTACTGCAAATACCTGCTAGCAAACATACAATTTTTACAGATGTATAATGGCATTGTGTTTTATTGCTAGTTTATGCTTTGAAACCACCACAAATCTAATAAATATGTTTTTGTTTCTCCAGGTATTTACTTTTTGATCGCATGATGGTATTATTTGCATTCTTGATCACACACTTTTCACAATACCTGCCCCGTTAATCACCTAACATTAGCATTATCTGAACTGTTAACCCTTAGAGTGGCTGGACCCACTCTTCCATAAGTAGGTCAAAAAGGACCCGTATTAGAATAATATGTGTTTTTATGCCATTTTTGTCAAGAAAAATCACTTGTATAATATTTAGTATTATATTTTGGTTCACACTAGAAATATTTTATATTTAATTTTTCACTATTTATAATTTTAGACATTTTGAAAAAAAACGTAATTCCATAGAAAATGCATGTGGGTCATTTTTGACCCACTTATGGAAGCTTGGGGTAGTTATACAAAAACTACAATTTCTTAAAATGTAAATAAAACATTTGAAAGGCATGATATCCAAAACATGTTTTTTGAGGAATAGCTAGAATATGAAATGATAAAAAAAATGTAATTAGAAAGATACTCTAAGAAAACCACCTCACCGGGTCAAAGAATACCCACTTATGCATCTAAGGGTCTTCTAACGCTGCATTATTTGCACACACTCAATATCTAAAGACTGTTTTGTGTAGTTCTGGAAGCTAGTCTATCAATTTACTGTTGTCAATGTGTTTCTTTGTTTTTAATTGTCCTTTAAGATACTGGATACCTACGTTTGATCAATAATATAACCTACATTAACAGTAGGATTAAACACTGTAATATGTCACTCTTATTTATAAAACTGAAAAACAGTATACAGAAGTTTAGAAGTAACATGTTTCAAGTACATATCTGATAATACTGATGTACTTTAACTCAGTCTCAGAGGTTACATTTTTTTATAAAATGTTATATTTTTGACTGCACTACATTTATTTGCTGATTGAAATGTTCATATGATCAGCTTATATAACATGATGTATACTAAACTACCCATTAGTAGATTAACACAATTAAAATGTAGTAACCATAATTGTCCAATAAAACAATAGAGTTTACAAGAGGATCTTTGCTGACAATGCGTTTATACTGTTGCAAGATTCATTGAACCGTTTAATTGATACGTTTAGGGGAGTAAAGAAATGAAGTACGCTATAATAATAATAATAATAATATATACCAATATTGAAAGGTTTATAGCCTATAAACCTTTCAATATTGGTAGAGACGTTTTTTTGTTATAAATGCATTATTTATTTGCTTATAGCTTGCTTTAAAACAGCATGTGTATAATTTGGATTACATCAGATTTAAAGTCATATTGTATGTATTGTTATTGTTGCTAATATAAAAGTTTGACATTTATTTCAGTAGTTACCCTCTACTTTATGCTCCTTCTGATGACATTTTAACACATTTCATATACGTCGGTTCTCAGTTTTCTTCTTGCTTTTGATTTCTGAGAACAATTTACCCCAAATGTCTCTGTCTACAACAATAAGGTATCACAACGATTGTCATAAAAAACTTCAAAGTAAGTTTGTACAAAATAAAAAAATCCAAGATCCATTTAATTAAATTTATTTACGTTATATATATATGTGATACATACATATACTTCACTAACTTTGACAACGCTGCTAAATATGTATTTTTTTTACGAGTGAAAAATATGTACTTATTTTAATATATTAAAATGTGCTTACCTCTTTAGTTTATATGGTTTTTATGTTCATAAAATTGGCGTCCCATATTTCATGTTCCCACTTGCTGATTTGTTCAACCTGTCTTTGTCCACCTGTGAGTTGCCGACTATTTGGAAATGTGCACGCATCATTCCACTGCATAAAGGTGGTGATTTAATTAATACAAGTAATTATAGACCAATCTCTATAATCTGTTCTATTTCCAAGGTTTTGGAGAAAATAATTTATAATCACATTATCTCAATACTTATAATATTTTATCTCCGGTTCAATCTGGTTTCAGGCCTAATCACTCCACAACAACTGCCCTACTTAAATTTACGAATGACTTGTACTCTGCTGCAGATGATGGTGAACTCACAGGTGCCATTTTTATTGACTTGACAACAGCCTTTGTTTTCGTTGATCGATATCTGCTCTTATAGGATACACTTCACGGCATTGGCCTTTCTAATAATACAGTGTTACGGTTTCGTACCTTCACAGTAGAAAGCAATGTGTGGTTGTTAATGGAAAACAGTCTGACCTGTTGATCCAACAAAAGGGTGTACCCCAAGGATCAACTCTGGGCCCACTTCTGTTCTCTATTTACATAAATGATTTATCTTCTTGTCTCATTAATTGTTGTACTCACCTTTATGCTGATGACACTGTCATATATACATCCAAATCAGATTTTTCACAAATTCAGATCTCTCTTCANCTGTACTTGTACAGACTGTATGTGGTTTGTCTTGTGTGTCACTCGTGCTCTTGTTATACTGCTATGTGTGTAAAGTGTTGCTATTGTCGGGACCTCCTTGAAAACCGAGATGGCTGCATCCAAGGGGGGTTCTACGAATAAAAACTGTCTAATTGTATATACATATATTTGGTACACTACATGATAAGCTTCAGTTTAGATTATATTGTTTGATACTTTACTATACTGGGATATTTTACATTATTTATGTTTATTCGTGTTGTATCCTTGTGAACTCTTACCTGCTCCATGTATATTATGTCCTGGTTGCTAATAAACACCCGGATTTCCCCACGAGGGGATCAGATAGAGGGGGTCTATGCTAATCTTATAACCATCCTGGCCACAGAGTTGTGAGGTGAACGCGTAAAAGGACCAGCATGTTTTTTATTCAACTATTATTGCCAAGCTCTCCTAAATTCTTGGGACACTTGCTTTGGTTATAGATATCACATTTCAAGTCGCTAGAGGGCTCGCCCCGCATGTTTAGGGTTTACACCGATACCAGTGTTAAAGGTGTCTCTTTCTCTCTGAGTTTCACATCTTCAAACGGTCTTTGATTTCATCTCTGATAGGAGTGGGCCTTCATCACGCTTCGAGCGTGGTCGGATGAACGTCATCAGAAGTTAAAGCTCCTCCCACGGGGGACCCTTTGTTGTGTGATTGAATGGAGTCTCCTGCTGCATCCTCTCACCACGAGCTGAGTCACGTTGTCCGTCAGCCAATCAGCAGGCGGGGAAAATGCTCGCAGCTGTTAGCCGCTATAAAACAGCGCTGGAACAGTGAGTGACGTAGTTCAGGAATGAAAAAACAATAGAGACCTTCTCAAAGACCACGGCATCCCACAGCTCTGATCGTCCTTCTCATATTTCCCTACACTGTAACCCAAGGTAAGAGGCTTAGATGTACTCCTGCCTGATTCTACTCTCTAGTGCTGCTGGTTTATCGCCGAGGGATCACTTGTTTACACGCGCTGAAACTTTCCTTTGTTTATACGTCATGTACGATGTTGACGGAAATCCTTCATAAATTCTGTGTGGTGTAGGTTTGTGTTTATGTTGATTAGTCTGTCTCATATGAGCATTGGTGCATTTACAAATAGAGGAATATAATCAGATCAGACTCCTGGTGAATAGGGCATAATTATAATTCCTTGTCAGTGACATTCTGCTGTACAATTTCTGGTTAAAACAGGGCCTTTTCCATGAAATCCTCCAGGTTGTACATGTTGTACTCCGTGATAGTGGCTCCCCTGTGTTTGGCTTATGCTCTGTTCTCTTTACTCTGTAGGATTTGGTCAAGAAAATGGCCACCTCAACAAGTTCAAAATTGAGCAAAGCTGTAAAGCAGCATTACATGGACCTCCCTCAAGGGGACAAGGTCCAAGCAATGTACATATGGATTGATGGCTCTGGAGAGGGACTAAGATGCAAGACCAGAACTTTGGATTCTGAACCCAAGACCATAGAGGGTAAGCTCAAGCATCCAATATAATCAACACAACCTGTAAACAAACATATTTTTCAGAATTGATATACTGATTTAACTTTGTTTTTATTAGAACTTCCAGAGTGGAACTTTGATGGCTCCAGCACTTACCAGTCAGAGGGCTCCAACAGCGACATGTTCCTGATCCCCGCCGCCATGTTCAGGGACCCGTTCAGGAGAGACCCCAACAAGCTGGTGCTCTGCGAGGTGCTCAAGTACAACCGCAAGCCGGCAGGTGAGCAGATCAGAAGGAGCCTGGGTGTTGTAGTTCAAGCTTCCCTGTGTTTGTGCTTATCCTAAATTGTTGTTTTTCCAACAGAGACCAATCTGCGTAATACCTGTAAACAGATCATGAGCATGGTGGATAACAACCACCCGTGGTTCGGTATGGAGCAGGAGTACACTCTCCTGGGCACCGACGGACATCCCTTCGGTTGGCCCTCCAACGGCTTCCCAGGTCCCCAAGGTGAGTTCTGCGTCTCGAGTTTGTCTCGTTGTTTATTGAAATATAATAACTTGGTGATATTTAATATTTTGTTTCCTGCCACCTGATTAGGGCCTTATTACTGTGGAGTGGGAGCAGATAAGGCATACGGGAGAGACGTGGTGGAGGCGCACTACAGAGCCTGTCTGTACGCCGGGGTCGACATCTGTGGCACCAACGCTGAAGTCATGCCAGCTCAGGTAATAACTTGTCTTGTTGTTTGCCACTTTTAAACTAGCATCAGTCATTGTTGTCTTCGTTGTGTTCCAGTGGGAGTTCCAGGTTGGTCCAACTGAAGGTATCAACATGGGGGACCATCTATGGGTCGCTCGCTTCATCCTCCACAGAGTGTGTGAGGACTTCGGGGTGGTGGTCTCCTTTGACCCCAAACCAATCACAGGGAACTGGAATGGTGCTGGCTGCCACACCAACTTTAGCACAAAGGAGATGCGCGAGGATGGCGGACTAAAGTAAGTATTTGGTTTTATAGTTAATAACTGGTGAATTTTTGTTTTGTTTTGAGCGCGTTTCTAATTCTGTTTTTTTTTTTTACAGAATCATTGAGGAGTCGATCGACAGGTTGGCGAAGAGACACCAGTATCACATCCGTGCCTACGACCCCAAAGGAGGGCTGGACAACGCCAGGCGCCTCACCGGACGCCACGAAACCTCCAGCATTGATGAGTTCTCGGCAGGCGTGGCCAACCGCGGCGCCAGCATCCGCATCCCCCGCGCCGTGGGGCAGGACAAGAAGGGCTACTTCGAGGACCGCCGTCCGTCAGCCAACTGCGACCCGTACATCGTCACTGAGGCTCTGGTGCGCACGTGTCTACTCAAAGAAGAGGGAGAGGAGCCCATAGATTACAGAAAATGAACAATGTCAATACCAGTACTGTATTTAGCCATGTCTTATCAAGGCTTTATAGATTGATCTTTACCACTTTTTTTACACAACAGATGAAATAATTATAGAAGAATTGTTTGTGCATACTTTATGCATTTAGTTGTATGCAACCTCTAGAACACTGCCAACACATTTAGTCATGGCAGCTAATACCGTGTATAGAATTACATTATTGTAATGTGTTAAGTTGTACTAATGAAAACCTGTTGAAGTTTAGCAGGTTTTGCTGAATATCTTGTTACTCTGACCCAAAGGATCCCTAAGGCATTTGAATGTTTTGAAACGTTGGTTTCCTCGTGTTGTCGTTAGAAGAGGTCCATATGTAATCTACTTTTTATGTTGTTTTGTATAATGCTGTGTGTTTTCACTTGCAAATGTCAAAAAAATAAACACTAACATTTGTAGTTCTGACTCAGGTGTATCCTCTTCTGCTTCATGTTAAGTTCTGACACGAGCCTGTGTCACATGCAGACTCACAGCTGATGCGAATCTCTGAAATGTGGCTGGTGTTAAGGGACAATGAGCTGTAACCTTTGACAAACTGTGGTTAATTAAGACTCGGGTACATCCACATCCTCCTACTTATCCAAGAGCTAAACCCACAAAGTGGCGTTAAAAGAGTTTTGACACATTTTATTTACCAAAGGTAGTGGAAACATGCGGTGAAGATTGGCTCAGTAGGCCTACTCTTTGCTGGCTTTTCTAGGTGAAAGGTCTTTCCCTTTTTATATATACACACATGATCTTCTCTAACATCTGGATTGTTTGTAAATGTACTATCTTTTTATCCCCACACAAATTATGTTGCAAGTCTGTCCATCCTGGGAGAGGGGTCCTCCTCCTCTTCCTTCCCCGAGGTTTCTCCTGTATTTTCCCCGTTAATTGGGGGATCTCAACAGAGTTGATGCTGTGAAGATCTAAGGACAGATGTCATATGCTGCACACACTGTAAAGCCCCCTGAGGCAAATGTGTAATTTTTAGGCTATATGAAAAATAGGTTTTTTTCCACTTACTAAATTATTACGCAAAGTTGATAATTCATAAAAAGGAACATGCGTTCTGTACTGAATCATATACTCTAAAACTTGTCACAATGTCGTTTCGGAATAATACTGTCCGGATCTCCATTACATGTTGGAACGAGACGAACTGCGTGTCACCAATATTTTTCAATTCGCTAACATTGCAAGATGGAGCTATTGGTCTGGCGGAGGTCTGCGCTAAGAATGCCCTGGGGGTTTTTGTTCTACCTTAAAGTCTGATTCAGTTTTGTTCCAGCTTCCGGTTGAACTTGATTCATGGCTTTAACACATGTCATATCAAAGTGGATTTGATTACAGTGAAGGGCGGCACAGCCTGTGCTCAGTGTGGTGAGTCATCACGCCAAGCGTTCTTATTGCCAAAATCATAATGGGATGAACTTTGAGAAATTGATTGTTAGAATTTTTTTCTGTGGCTTTTCTGCTTTAATCAGAAAGAAAGACAAAAGGGAGGACATGCAGCATAGGGTTCTTTCCATTAAGAAACAAAAAGCTTCTGGATTGTAAACTTGTTTTCTTCTGCTTCTCATTTCGCAAATGTTCCTTCCCTCCAGGCACTAATGGTTTCCATTTAGTTCATGCTAGCGTGACAATCCATTTGCAAATATTCCAAACCTGTTTGAGTTTAGTAAATCGTCAGAGTAAAGTTGTTCTTGCTTTAATATACTTATAATGCTGCATTGTGTCTATGAAAGTGGGTGCAAGAGCAAAGTTTATAATGCACCAAAGTGAACAAATATATACATTTTCACTTAATAAATGTGTGTCTGAGTGATCTATTCTTATCATTTAGGCTTTGAGCCTAAATTGAACAGGAATCAGCGTGAGTGTTGGAGAGTCTATTTCAGTATGAGGCCATGAACTGGGTGTCAGTGAGGACAGTGTGGTGAGGGGCTCTGCAGTCAAAGTCGTGTCTCACGCTCGGTCCTCCACAGCCATGTTGTTTCTGGTGTCCTTGAGTGAGACCTTGCACCTCTTCTCACTAACCCAACTTTTAGAAAATCATGTTCATTTTTTCCCACAAAAAGAACCTTTCATTACAGTAAATCTAAATTATTAAGCCTGAAGTGTGATGTACAGCAGGACTCACACAGACTGCATGCATTGTGTTTGTAATAATGGCCTCAGGGTTCAGACACATACATAATGATTTTCCCGTCTCATAAATATCATGTGTGATAACAAAGGGGATTCATATAAAAAGTATTAAGGTAAACAATCAAATCTTTATTGCCCCAGAATAAATGTAATGCCTGATTTACTTTAACTGTACAAATTATTTCATTACCGAGGTCATACTGTGCTATACCCTATTATAGTGTAAAACAAACCTGGGGCAGAACAGGTGCTGTCAAGCTTAGCTTACCTTTCCACTTTATTCAGTGAGTGAATCAGGTGTAGGGGTCTCTGTTGTTTAAGGAAATGAAATGAATGTCCCCTGTTCGGCTTCACATGGAGCAATTCAGATTGAACTCAAATCTGGACTCTGATCAGGTTAGGGTTAGAGTGGCAGAGAGAGCAGTAATATGTGTGGATAAAGTACTTCTCTTTCTGCTATTCTATATTTCTTTGCTTTCGCATTAAGAATATACTACAAGATTTCATTTTTCTTCTAGCTGATCTATAACCCTGTATCGCAGAACGTGAAGTGGCATTTGCTTGCAGCGACGCATTTGACTGCAGTCTGAGAACACACCAAATTGAATTTGCCTCGGAATTCATTCAGAAGGATGTCCAAATCAAATTGCATGGGCCTGTTTAAATCATGTCCACATGCTCACTCTGAAAATGTCCCTGCATTTAAATACAACTTGCAAAGAGACAGTTCAGGGGCATATATTTGAATACTTGAAAATGTATTTATATCCTTTAGTGAAAGTACTGGTGACCATGTGGCGGACTGGCCATCGGGACGTTCGGGACGGGCCGGTACCGAAGTGGGCCGATCGGACAATTAACTAGCACTGCGAAACCCCCCGTTGGTTATTTACTAGCGGTGGAAGTGGGCCGGTTGGACATATCACTAGCACCCCCCCCCCCCCCCCCCGCGCGTTGACAATTTACTAGCGGTACTGAAGTGGTCCGGTCGATATTCCCGGGCTGATTTTTAGTCCCAGTCCGCCCCTGCTGGTGACATACAGTTAAAATACTCCACTACAATAACAATTCATTCATTCAAAACTCAATTAAGTAAAAGCATTTAAGCTATTAGAGGGAAATGTACTTAAAGTAAAAGTACTAACATGCAATAAAATGTATCCATGTCAGTTTTATGCTTACCTGTTTTTAGATAAATATTACTGCTTCATTAACGTCGATGCTGCATTTCACTGCTGAAGATGTAGGTCTTTAACTCCAAATATACTTTTGTGCAAATTAATCTACAGCAGTGCATCACATTCTGTTGTAGTTGTTTATGGTTGTGCTTATATAAACTCCTTTATATACAGTTGGCCAGTTTAATCTACAGCAATGCCACATATTTTATAAGATCAACATATGTTTGCAGCTTTGTCGCCGTCCTTTGAGAAGCATGTATCTCTAAGTCACAAGTTTCTCAGAAAAAACTGTCCTGTTTTCAGCGTTGTGACAATGCATTTTACAGCTGATCCAAAATGCTTTTGAAAGGGTTTATTTAGCTTAAGAAGAAGGATAATTAAAATAAAGGAACACCTTTTCCTTCAGTTTATTAACACGCAGCATCAACCAACAGTTACAGTATCTTTTATAACTAACTAAAGCTGTAAAGAGTACAAAATATTTTCTGTCACGGAACAGAAGTCAAATGAGACAAACTAAGAAAGAAATGTCACTTTTCTGCAAACAAAGTCACCTACAGTATAATAGAAGGCCTTTTCATGTGTACGTTTTGTTCTGAATATTTAGTGTTGCATAACCTAGTGAAATGTTCACTTTGCATTACAAGTGGATCCCCCGCCCCCCCAATGTTATCTGAGCTCTTTGTACAGTCTGTACACAGGATGTGAAAGTGTGAGTACAACACTTTTGCAACACTACGAGGATAAATGCTGAGCGTTATGATCAGATAACCCAGGCAGATAAAGTGAATAAAGAGGAAGCCTCATGAGGAAAACCATAATGCCTTGATCCTCGTTTCCATTGCAGCCAGAGTCTAAACCCTTGGACAATCTGATGTGTGGAAGAGAGGGGTGGGGCTCCATGTGAGGCTATTACAAAACAACAGGCAGGTCAGAACAAATAAGGTAGTTTACAAAATGCAACTGGGCCTTTTTTGTTTTGTTATAATGCGCTGAAAAACTAGTATATCACAAATCAACACATAATCTCACTTGGCCCTTTCCATCACCACACAGACTATTCATCCTCAATAAAGAGGCGTATCGTATGAATTCAATCAGAGGCTCTTGACTTAATCAGATATGGTGAGTCCAAACAGCAAATGAAGCACCATCCTTGGCTAATCTGATCACATGAGCAGCCTCTTCTCTTCTGGGGCCCTCAGACCCAGACCCAGCACCACTATCACGGCTGAGAACAGATATGCAGTGTTTTCTGTCCCACCCCTCCCCCGTCCTCCCCTACAGGCGGCTGTGGTTTGGGGTTATTCCGTGAAAACTGTTGCACGTTGCTGGCCTGATGGTTGGAAACTGGAGCAGCTGTGAAAGCAGAGCTACACACTGAGGCAGAGGGGTTAGAACACAGAGATCAGACCACCAGCGATTGTGACAAACATCACCAACATCAACAGAGGAGGACATACTGTATATTATAATATATGTTTGTTTGTTTGCTGTGATATAAGTTTTCAATTTTGTTGTTCCAGCAAATCTTAGGAACAAGATCTCTGAAGAGCACAGCTAAGATACTGCATAGAACCAACTGTCACTGTTGCAGGGTTAGCATGTTCCATAACTGTTGGTGTTTTGGCAGTATATTTGAAATGGCTAGGTTAGCTATGTTAGCTAGCTAGTTAACAGCAGATCTTCAATAATATGTGATCACATTGTTAAAATAAGATGATAAAACATACATTTTAGGTACATTTACAACAACAGTGACAGTTGGCCAACTTTTTAATCCCCGAACGCCAACAATCACTCCGGTCCCAGATGTGTGTGTCACTTTCTTGTGCCTCCGTTTACATTGTGTTTTGATCTTCTTGCAGCATTTTGTATTTGCAGCGTTATGTTTATGCATGTGTTGTCAAGTTGGAGAAAATGTTTCTTCATTCGCATGTGTTTTGGCACATTTGTGTTTTTGAAACTGCAGCGTGTTTCTTCTATTGGAAGTGTGTGGGGCCGTTGTGACGCGTTTCCACCTCTCGGCCACCGTAAGTTACACCTTCAGCAACAATACAGAAAGTATTAGCATGAAAACTCGT